AAGCACATTCGTCAGAGCATAAAAAACTCTTTCACAGTTATTAATGCTGCCTCATACAGTTCTGTAATGGCTGGAAAGCCCTTCGATTTCAAATGGGAAAGCTGTTGCAAAACAGACACCAGGTTATGTTTGTCGTTTTTCCTCCAGTGGTCACTGATGTATTTCTTGGCAACATCAATTTGAGCCAAAACAAAGCTGTCCATTTCAAGGCCGATCAAGTTTGCGAGAAATCCCATTCGGTCTTTGTCAAAGAAATGTTCTGATTCGGGATCTAGTGACTTCATGGCACGAATAAGATGCGAATTCTTCTTCGAGAAACGTTCATCAAGCTCAACCAGGATATTATCAATTAGACAGAACCACGATAGTTTTCTGACAAATCGGTGTTATCTCTGTGCAGATGGTCAACAATGTAGTCTTTGAAACCAGAGTTTTCACGACGTCTTCTCCTTTCTGCAGGCTAATGGTCTTGTACTATTACACTGGTATCATCACCTGTAGTATTTTGCAGAATCAGCTTAACTTCATCCAGAAAAGTGGTAAATGTTTCATCGGTTCTCAACAAAGCAATGGATGCTCGCAAAGATGATATCAACATCAAGGCTTGCATCAGATTGATACTGACTGATTGTAGATGAATGTTGACAGGTGCTAGTATACTCACTGCTTTGTGGACAGCTACAGAATGGAACAGAAAGGGTTTCTTTTTGATCAGCTTCAACAATCCGATTGCCTCCACCACTAATTCAGGTAAAAATGTGTTATTCTCATAGCTTTATATGATCCAGTGATGACTTTCACAGTAGCTAGGTGGCCAGTCCACCGCTGTTCCAACAGTCGTGTCTGTGCTTGCCTAGTGTAGTGAACAGATACAGTTGGGTTACGTATGAAGTTGTACAGGATGTTGCAAGTGCCAAAAAAGATGTCAACGTCAACATCTGCAGCCGAAATCGCATGCACAACTACAATGTGTAGCTGGTGGTTTAGGCAGTGCACGTAGGAGACAGATCGGCCCAGTCTTTCCTGGAAAAGTTTTTGAACACCCCAGACTGTCCCGACATCACACTAGCTCCATCATAGCATTGGCTAAGAACGTTTTCCAAACTGAAGCTATGCTCTTGAAGTATTGCTATGACGGAGTCAATCAAGGAATGTGCGTCAAAACTTGAATAACTGCAAGTAGATGTTCAACAATACTTCCATCTTGTAAGTACCTCACACATAAGCACAGATTTTCACGGTTGCAGTAAAAAGAGGCATTATTTTATTTTTTAAGGCAGATTTTTAGAGGGCGCATTGCGCCCTTTCACGCCCCCGTGGCTACAGCACTGAATATATGCTCCATTTCACTTAACACCAATATTATAATATACTATCAAATTTTGTTGTCCTACTTTACTAATAACAATATCTACTAGCTTCAGTTAATATCAGTATTACAACATATCATCAAATGTTACTGTCCTATCTTTAACGATTGAAATATCAATTAGTTTCACTTAACACACATATTACAACAAAGTATCACATTTTTTCTGGGGAAAATGTTTGTAGCAAGAACTAAACAAAGCATATTTTGACATAATTCCTACAAAAAGAGTTTAAAGAAAGAAGTATACAACACATATCTTGAAAAAACTTTTGTAAAAAAAATTATAAAAAAAGTACATGAAGCATAGAATGACATAAACCCAACAAAAAAAAGAGTGTATGGAAAGAATTTAAGTAAATGAAGCATAATTTGACATAACTTATATGAAAATAATTTGTAGAAAGAAGTAAATAAAGTATATTCTGACACAGTTCCATGGAAAAGAAAGTAACTTTGATGATTAACTGAAAATTACATTTACCAAACTGTCTTCACTACCCATAGCCCGGGAGACAGTTGAGGATGCACAGAATTCTAAATCATTTACATGGACATTCCCTTCTCCTGAAGTTGATGATTCTGAAGTAGCTTCTGAGAATCTGTAAAACAACAATTCCTAACTTAAACCAACTTTTTCAGCTTAACTAGAGAGAAGTATATCAGTAAATAGGCAAAAACTTAAGCTTTTTAATTTTCAATTTGCCATTTAATAAAGTGAATGAATTATTTGGGACACAATTTCAAAACATAATAGAAAATATGTTTAAACGTACAGTTAATTTACAATTATCACCATAGTCATGTATGAACTGAATAGCCATGTATGTCCAAAATAATACTTACCACAAATATTAATCTGTATAGCCAATATCCACGGTAACAAAGTAACAAATTTATCTTTTTTTTTTAGCATTTCAGTTGAAGTGATACTTATTAATTAAATTAGACATTTTTTTGTAAACAAATAAAAAACATTCAGACCATCTGCAAAATGATAATATTGTCAAAAAAATCATACACGTCTTCCAACATGGCTTATTAAAATCCATTAAAAAAAGGCTATACTAATACGATGGCAGCGTACAATTAATTACCAACATAAAAATCCAGCTATACAACTGAGGGGCTATGTTAAATATACAATTAAAAACACACCAAAAATATACTAGTGTTTATGAAACCTGAAGCATACTCACCAGATGCAGCTAACAATACAAATGAACAAGCAAAATATCATGAAACCTGAGACATATTCACATCATGTTGTCAACAATAGAAACAACAAAAAATGTTCATGAAACTTATGACACACAGTGTGAAAACAATTCTTACTATGGTCTTGTGGCTCCCGTTTTTGACCATAGTTTTATAAAGTGTATTAATAGAGCACTGGGGTCGTTGCTACTTATAAAAGTTCCCAACAAAAGCCCAGCAAGCTTTATAAATTTAAAAATGGAATTCTAGAATAGTTGGTACTTCAAAACAGTCACTAAAGCAAGCCTACAAAACTATGTAAAGTGTAGTAATGGATCACTATAGTAGTTGGTATTTTTTAGCCAGTTTATTTTTAACCTACAAGCTTCTTAAAGTAAAGTAATGTTACGACAGCGGAAATCACGTGATACTGGAAGCATGCGCGCTGGTGTTTCTAAAAGGATCATGACTGCTCCTGGCAACTCTAGTATTTGCCAGACGCCCTCTATTTTAGTATATAAGCCCGACAAATAAAGTGGAGATGAAGAGTGACGGCATAAATAAGTGCAGATAGAGAGATATAGAGACAGATAATCGAGTCAAGTGAGCGGCAGTGACCATAAGTAAAGTGCATGAATCGTTGTGAATTATAGCATGTGGTTAAGTTAAAGTGACTGTGGAAATTAAGTGTACTGCAAAGTTGTATTGAGAAAGATAAACTTGTTTCATTTAAGA